CATCAGTATTCCAGCTGCCTACTCTGGTGTGGGCAGCAGAATAATTTCATTCTGATCTTACAGATCAAGAGCTGTACCAAGTGGAAGGTGACCAGCCCCGCCTGGCTGGCTGAGCTGCTGCGGTATTAAGAGTAGCACTTTACACATGCGATGGATGGTCCTCTTTGAGACTCATTTTTCAGTTTAACACGCAGTATAGTTCATCGAGTGGGCTGTATTGTGCTGGTCATGGTGCTGGTCTTCCCTCTGATTTCTATTTTAGTAAATGTAAGATGATAGTATCTTTGAGTATTGTTGAACTTTGTGGGGCAGTATGTAAATAAAAGGGGACAAAATACACACCTGATAATATAATGAAATATAATGAAATTCAATAAAATACCTTATGGTGTACGTTTAGGTGTGAATTATTCTAACGGGTCCTTTACAGACACTGGTTTACAGAGAATGAGGGATGAGGGGACATGCACTCTCTCTGTTATAAATAGCCACATATTAAAAAGGCTTTATTTGAATATACCAATTACATAACAAGTATAGAAAATAAAATATTGTGTGCAGTGTAATTCATTATTTGACAAAATAAATGGTAAAGAAAACTAATGCTGCAACTAACAGTTCTTTTTTTTATTGATTAATCTGCAAATTTGCCTGTCACAACTTCCCAGAGCCCAAAGTGACCAAAAGCGTACAGTTTACTGATATATGACAAAGAGAAGCAGCAAACCCAGATTGAGAAACTGAAGAGTATAGCACTGCTTCAGTATTCTTCCTTGATAAAAGACTCAATAATCAATTATCAAAATATTAGCTGATTATTTTTCTGTTTATTGACTTCTTGATTCATTCATTAATTGATTTTACCTGTTACAGCTGAGATTAAACAACGTTTTTGTTTTGTTCTTTGTTCTGTTTTCGGATGGGGTGACCGTAAATAGTCGACTATTCAGCTATTCGATCTAAGGAGCCTGATTCAACTGCCAATCTCACGGTTGAATCGCCGCAGTGGCAGCAAAATGTGGTAACAAAACAAAGGATAATTCATAAATCACAACATGGCTATTTCAAAATCAAAGAATAGGGCTAGATTTAATAATCAGAGCGTTCAAATAAGAACAAACCACTAAAAATATTTTGAAATTATTAACAATTCTCTAAAGTTAGCTGGGGAGGCGCCTTGAAACAGCTGTTTGCAGTGCATATAACATCTGTTTGCGGCATGCGTCTCTCTCCTGTTGACTGTCCCTTCACGTCCTCTCTGTCTGTGGATTTGACCTATCAGACATTGTTAGTCGGAGACACAGCTAGTTCCTTGTGGTGGTGGCTAACAGTCATTTTGTAAACATGTCCAAAGCTGCCAAACATCACATCAATATTGTCTGAGAAAAGTTGATCATGAAAGTGTTGATCAGAGTTGGAGTACATCATACAATGTGGATGGAGGCACACACTAGGAGACACACACACACACACACACACACACTCACAGTCATACCTGTGGTGCTGTGGATTTACAGTGTCCTACTGAGCTGTGATCATCTTGGAAATGGGATTACTGTTGGCACAGTGGGTACTTTACCACCATTTAGATACACAAGAGACAAACACACAGTCGAGTAGTACACATTTAAATACACATTTAAACAAACACTGACAGAGATTGGTACGAACGAGCACACGTATGTATGGCTTACTGCCTTATAGACGGACTACAGATCGTCTGATCGCCAGGTATCACTTATTCCTTACTCATTAGGTGTTGCTAAGTTGCCGTCTCTGGTCCCAGTGGTGAAGCAAATACAGCAGAAAATGTTCAGTAGATGCACTACAGGAGTAAAGTGGTGACAGACGATCAATAGAGATCTAATGATTAAGATATCCAATTCTGGGAGACTACACGAAATGACTAACCCCTCACTCACTCAGTGCTTGTTCATGTGTGTGTGTGTGTGTGTGTGTGTGTGTGTGTGTGTGTGTGTGTGT